GAGAGAGAGAGAGAGAGAGAGAGAGAGAGAGAGAGAGAGAGAGAGAGAGAGAGTTCTAGCGAGATAGTTCCGCTCCAGCAAATTTGTTCATGAATTTCATGCTCTCTTCTCACCCGGGATTACATTTCTTTTTTCTTATTAGTTCTATCCTTCTCCAGGGATCCAAGGACTCGAAAGATCAGAATAACGAAATTCTTGAGTCATTTCAATAGGCTCAGAATAGATGGGGGAAAAACGCCTGGATCTTATCTTCACTGGCGATGTGTTTGATGGAGTGGAAAGAAAGGTACAAGGGGCGTCTTTGCTTTGGATGGATGTCTCAGTGGTTGAAGGTATCAGTCTTGAAAACTGACATATTACAAAGTATCGGGGGGTTGAATTCCTCTCCATCCGTTTGACTTCAGAATAGGTTCTTATCACGGCGTTAACTTGACCGTGTAATTTATGCCTTCACCGTTTTGAGCTCGTTTATTACCTCCAAGTTTCCATACATTATTTTGGCTCACCGACGGAAGGGAAGAGCCTGGTTGAAATTCTTTTAGGGCTAGCAGGCTTGAGTTCCAGAGCAGAAGAAGTGTACTTAAGTATGTACAATTGCGTCTGATAGGTCAGTTCATGAGACAGTCAGCAGAGCTGATGGGTTCGAACTGATGGATCAGAGCAGTTGGGTTAGAACAGGCTTGATTATGGAGCAACCTTCCATGCTTAGAGCTCGTATATGACACACGATGCAGTGTTTAGCCTAAGAGGTCAGGATATAAGGGGTAATCTGCATCCTTAGAAGTCGGAACTTGACTTACTATATATAGAATGCTATGGATCCATCTGCAGCCAAGGTATCATTGGGCAAAAGAGTGTGTGTCTGTGTGTAAATACATACCAGGGTTCCCCAGCGCAAAGTGCTCGGATCCGCTACCATTGAAAGACGAATGCCAACGGCCACAACTCATGCCGACTCTCACAAAATACTTGGATAGCATGACTGGCATCATGAACACGAGAGGAGCAGAGAAATGAAGAAGGCCCAAAAAAAACAACGATAGCGACAGACTGCTTCGTGGGACTCTTGCCAACTCATTAGGAGGCCGAACCCTTGACAGTGTGCAGCATTGTCATGTTGATGTTTTGAGTCATGATCTCCTTTAACCCCTGTTGTAAATGGACGGCCAACGGGGGACATCTCAGGCAGGAGGGCAAGGGTGAGGCAAGCAGGCGTTGAACGACACGCGACATTAAGGCACATGGACCCAAGGGGACGGGGGAGGTGGGTGGGAGGCAAACGGCGAGGCAGCGGAGCACAGGGAGGAGCAAAGTGGATGGACACCCAGGCAGTGAGGTAGCATGAATGGCAAGCCAAACGGAAGCCAAGCAGTAGGGAAGGCATGGCGACAACACAAGGCAAGCGGAACGGGAGCCAGGCAGCAAGGCAGCACCGACAAGGCAGTCCACTCATACAGCATGGACCAACGCTGATTATAACCTACTCTTAAGTAGAACTCTACAGACTCTAGGTTCACAGCACCATTGGAGTCAGGCACAAGGGAGCGTTGACATAGAAGCCAAACTACAAAGCAAACAGGTACACCACAACAAAAGACAAGGCAAGGCAAGTGGATCGGCCAGGCAACAGCACAGCGAAGGGGTCTCTCAGCCAAGCAACAGCACAGAGAAGGGGTCTCTTAGCCAGGCAACGGCACAGCGAAGGGGGCCAAGCAACACCACAGCGAAGGGGTCTCTTAGCCACAGGGAAAGACAAGGCAAGGCAAATGGATCGACAGCCAGACAACAGCACAGCGAAGGGGTCTCTTACCACTGGGCTATTTGCACTGAGGTTGAACACTGTCTGGTTTCGTCCCCTTTGGCTGAGCCCCTACATACACCCACCCCACGTGCCCCGGATCCACCATGTGCCACAGGTTTCTTCTGAAGGTGTCCCTTAGCAGGCGGCCTGGGGGCTTTCTTTCCTGTGTGAAGGGGACATGCAACCTCCGTGCAAACACCGTGGCTCAAGCTTGGGTGCAGTGTGTATCCTATGCTCTCTTCCCCCTACCCGATAGTCCGTCCAAGTGGAAAGGCTGGTTAGCTGGGTAGTCCAAAGCGATCATCAGATAATCGTCTCCCTTGCTACATAAGGGGGGAGGAGATCTATGAAGTCGGCCACCCTGTACTGCTCTCTGAAGTCGTGGAGAAGGTGGCTTGGATTTATATTGGGATATGCCTAAACTCCACCCAAAAGAAATCCTCCATCATCTGGGCCCGGCGCTCCTTCGACCGGACAGACTTAAACGGCCAGTACAATCAACCGTTCTCGGCCTTTTGGCTAAGATCAAGTGTAGTATCTGCTTCTCTCTCTCTCTCTCTCTCTCTCTCTCTCTCTCTCTCTCTCTCTCTCTCTCTCTCTCTCTCTCTCTCTCTCTCTCTCCCTCCCCAGCCCCCCTTGATTAGTTTAATACCTGATCCGTGGTCCACTGGACCACGTGATGTTAAACTATTTTTTCAGGCCCACAGAGAGGGGGTCAGACAGGTAAGCCTGCTTACTCGACCCCTCCAGCGTTGCCTCCTGTATTGCACTGCTGCAGAGTGTGCACAGCCCTCCCCCCCTCCAAGGGATGGAAAGAAAAGGACCAGTAACATCCGTGCCTCTTTTGTACGAGGCAGATTCCCATTGAGCGCCAAGCTTTTCCTGAAACGCAAGCGTGGCATTTTTGTTTAAGTTTGGCTGGCGCCATCAGCCATTCTGGTCCGGTGGCCCCGAGCCTCTGATTTTTTTGGAGAAGCTCAATCGTGACTCTCGAGTAAGGCCATGTACTGGCGGTCTAAAATCTGTTCCTATGGGTTATCAGTTCAAGACTTCAAGTCCGATAGTGGTGAGCATACCGGCTTGGTGAAAATTGTTAAACACGATGGACTGTGAAATCGGTTCCTGCAGCGCAGAAATTTAATCAAGCTTTCTCCTTTTTTTTTTAAGAAAAGAAAAATTTTGGACCATTTCTCCTAATGCTGAAGTGGATTAAAAGAAAAAGGGTAAAATTCCGGTCCATGCAGATTTCGCCTATTTCAGAAAAAGGCGATGCCTCCTTTAGTGTCCTGCTACAGTTCCTACTGTTGCTGCTTTTGCACATTTTGTGTCCTCCGCGAGAGTAAAGCCTCACTCACACACATTGTGCTAATTTTCTGCATGAAGTGTGCTGTTTGTCTATTTGTTTTTTGAAAGTGTTATGCAGACTGTGCGTATCACAGCCATCCAATGTACGAGTTGTTGACGACAGTATCGAATGTGCTGTTGTCGCTGTGGGTGCAGGCGAACTATGGCATACAGTCGCCGGGTCCTAGTGCGTATAACTATGGATCATCCATAGGGCCCCAGCAAACTTCTAGAAACAGGAGCGCACCTCGTTGGGTGTTCGGATCAGAAGGCAGGTTCAAGGTAAAGAAAGTTCTTCCGGAAAAAGTCTGAAGAAGAGAGGTATTTTGTTTGCGAAATGCTGCAGTTCACAGTTTCGTAAATGTACCAACGGGTCCTTCGGGACATCCATTAAAATTGGAACGATGAAGGAAAGATTAGTATGTCCCCTGATAAAGGAAAGATTAGTATGGCCCCTGCGCCAGGATGACACACATCAATAGAGAAATCGTCCAAAACTTTTGGTGCGTAAAAAAAAAAAAAAGTAAATAAAAGTTATAAAACTATAAAATTTAATAAATGTACCAACGGACCTAGCTCAGCTGGTACACCCCTGAACTATTGAAATACAGACTCAAGTTCGGAGAAGAAGAGGAAGAAGAAGAAGAAGAAGAAGAAGAAG